CTGGCTGGACCAACAGACTGGCGGATATTTCCTTGGGCATGGTCATCTATATGCCGGATTATGTGGCGGATATGTAAAATTTAATTCTACTTCTAAAGCGTTTCTTGTGCTCAATATTTCCCCTCTTATTTGCCCAGGAAAATCCTCAACGCTGCGCTGCTCATTTCGGAGGCCAACACCCATGTGGGTTGCACGGCCATGCGCTTCACTTTTGCCAGCTTCCATCATTTTGTGTTGGTGTGCGCCTTCAGCACGGATGTCTTCATCAATCGAAGTCTGTACAAGCTGTCGGCCTCGCCGGGCAGCGCCTGCAAGCGGCGCGACTCCACATACCCCGCGCTGTGTGCCGCTGGCGAGCGTTACCACAACGAGCGGCAGCTGCCCAATGCCACGCTGCTGCAGCCACCCGGTGGCAATGCCATGATACAACGCAACCCAGATGTGGCCACCTTTTATAATTACAATTTTAACAATTACGGCTGAGTAAAGGAAAACTTTAAGTTCACTTTAAACTAGAAATTTCGGTTGAGCGTTTTTTGTTGTGCATTGTCCGCTGGCTAGACTAAAGCACACGCCCCCAAAGCGTGGAACATTGCCCAATTAAATCAGTGCCCAAAAAAAAACACAAAAATAGTTAACAGCCAGACGGGGCAGCAGGGTGACACAGCAGACACACAGACAGACAGCCTCGATAATCACGGAACGCATTTGCATATCAACGCGCTTCCGGGCTGATGTCCTTCGCATGCAAATGAAAACATTAGCGGAACACACGCGGCAGTCGCTCAGTCCTCTCATCCTTGCCAGCGAGACACAGCCAAAAGCGACAGCGACAGATGCAGATACGGATACAAGTGACATTCGTCGCTGCTTTTGCTGCTGCTTAAATATATATTTCAATTAAAATTTTACACACGAATAAATGCAAAGCCACGCCCAGCACATTAGGTGCCCATTTCCGAGCTCCCCAGTTACAGCAGAAACTTCCATTCTGGTCCCTGTCCTCCTGCTGCAGCCAGTGTCCAACTTGTGTCGCTATGTTTATGAGCGTCTGAAGGCCATGAGAGCAGACAGTGCCAGGACATGGCCATAAAATGGTCCGAGCTTACGAGAGTGCTGCATGCATAGGGATGAGGATGAGTGTGAGTGTGTACAGGGATCAGTGCTGGCACTGCAGAGGCGGGGCAGACACGGCACCACCAATGGAGCATGCTGAATGTCCACAGAATTATTCACAAGTTTCCCCATGGCCAGCCAGGGACAACCCGAGGAGCCCACTGGAACGAGAACTTTGGCATTGTGACAAGAGGAGACAGAATGGAGTTTGCAGCGGAGCAAAACGATGAACCAAGGACACATCAAGTGTTTATGCTGTAGGAAGTTTTGATCACAGAATTTGCGCTTTAAAAATGTCGCAAAATCAGTCCAAAATCATTGTCAGACTTGTAGCAGCTATCATCCAACACACAAATGACCTGCAGATCTCTGCTGGCTGTCATATCTTATCCACAAATTGGCTGTTGCTGCTGCTCCGCCCCTTGGTTGGGTTTCCATTTCAAGTCGAGGCCATGAACTTGAACTTGCAACTGTAATAATAATAATAATGCAGATCCCAACTAACAATCGTGCCGCTCCTCTGGGTCCTATTTTTATTTCCTTTTCACAGCCAGAGCTCACCCTTTTAGCTCTGTCCTTCCGTGTCTGCGGCCATTGTCTGGCTTGCATTTCAAATTCTAAGCAAATTTGTCCACCAACGGGAGGCACCAGGGGCAGAGGCATGTGCAGGGGCAGGGGCAGGGGCAGGCGGCGCAACATTTTATGAGCGTGCCCGTGATGCAGCGACTCAGATATGGCCAGAGAAACGTCTGCTCTGGGCTCCGACTCCAACTCTGCTCCAGTTTCCACGACCAGCGCCAGCTCCATTTGAATGGGTTTTCTCTCGCTGCTCGTTGCTGCGTCTGCCGCTGGCACACAAAGATGTCCTGGTGTGATTTATCGCCGGCATAGCTGGGATAATGGCCACGTATTATAATATTTGCCGCGCCCAGTCAGGCACCGTGGCAGCCACCGAGGCAGCCGTATGCTTATCGGCGGCGACACCACCACCACCACCGACAACGTCAACGTCTAGACTCCTGCGGTGCAGCTGGGCTCAGCAAGGCTTCCTTTGCTTTCATTCTTCCTTTTATGCTTCTGGCTTGCAGTTTTCATTTGCATTTTGCCAGAGCGGAAAACTGCATGCAGTTTATTAAATAGAGGAGCAAAAAAAAGAAGGAAAAGACAAAAAGCGAACTCGCAAAATTAAGTACATCATTTCGGGGTTGGGTTTGGGTTTGGGTTGATTGTCGGATGCTTTTGGCGCATATCCTGTGGCCAGGACAGCACTCTCGACACTCGCCTCATTGTTGAATTTTATGCCGCAACGAATGTCTTCCAGACACCACACAGACAGACAGACTGGCAGAGGGGCTTAAATCGTGAGCCAAATACATAAAATCTACGCATGCATGGGACGAATCCTCCGCCCCATTCCGTATGTGCGAGTGTATCCTTTGCCGCATCCTTTTCCACTAAATGCCGACTGCATTGTGCACAGATATACATATCCTTTCTGCCACATGCATATATATTTGATATCATTAAAATTTTCAACTTGCCACTGCAGCAGCAGCTTGTCCTTGCCATTGCCACTGCCACTGCCACTGCTGCAACTCCTTTCTCGGACTCCTCCTCGCAGAGCAAACATGAATAGTCTGGAAAGTCTGGATTTCTCTGCACACACACACACACACACACACACAAAAGAGAAAGCAAAAGCAAGAGCAAAACTATGCATTTATGATATTTTTTCAAGTTTATTTGCTCAACGGACTTCAAAAATATTTCTGCAAAAGTTCTGGGAAGAAGGAAGAATTTCGTCTGAGCTGAGCTACTTATTTGCACATTACTTTTCCCCACTGTAAAATTCCTAAAGTTTGCATTGGCAGAAACCTCAGCAAAGGAATGATGATCCTCCCAACCCCCGAGAGTCCAACTTTTTATTGAGAAATGTGGACAGGTATCCGGTGGGGAAATTTAATTACATTTAAATCCAAATGGGACTTAATATGCAGTCGCTTCGTTCATAATTAAAAAATACGCAATATCCGATTTTTCAATAACCCCAACATAAAAAAACAACCAAGTGCATCCAGGAGAAGGAGCGCCAGGACGTCCTGTTCACGGCCAGGGCCAACAGTCGGTTGGGACTGATGGGCGCCACTGATGGGCGACGACAACGTTGAATCGGACGACTGCAAAGGACAAACGGGCGTAACTCAATCTGTGGATATGCAAAAGGGAATAACCAGCCAGACGCACTACCGCAGGGACAATGATAGCCCCAAAGAAACAAAAAAGAAATTACCAAAAGAATAAAATCAATTTCATGCGCTGTGCTGGACACAAAGTAAGGGCATATGTGGCTGTTTATTAAGGAGGTTTTGGACATTTTTGGGCATTATTTTAGAGCATTTTAGACTGGAATATAGTTCCTTTTCTTCTAATATTTTTTACCAATAATTTCTCTAGGGTATTTATATTTTTCGTACATTTTTTTCCACACCCACTAAGCCATCGCAATTGTTTTACTTTTTATTCAACCTTTTCTGAGTAAATTAAAAAAGTAAATTCTTTCACTGCAACAACGACGACTACGAGGACGTGCAACTTCTCGTCCGGCCAATAATTCAATCAATTTATTTGCACTTTAGTGCTGCGGAAATGGGTGTCACACACCCACACCCACACCCGCACCCAGAGCCGTGAAATCTCTCTCTTCAGCAAAAGAAAGCTGCCGACGATTCGGGAATAAAAATGAAATCAATTATGTTGAAACTTCTCTTTTTTTTTGTTTTTGGAGCACACCGTACCGCTGGCTATGTTGTAATTAATACAAAATGCTGTGTGGCCTCAGACACAGTCGGGGAACTCCGTAGTCAGCGAGGGAATGGCACGTTATAGCTGGGGGCATGCCAAAAAGTTGAGTCTTTGCCGCTGCCCATTGCCGGCGAACTCAATTTGATAAAAATTTCATTTACAATTGCCGACGCCATCGTCGCCTCCGCGTGGCAATTGGGGGCAGTCCTTGCCTGCTGCCAGTCCGTGTGGGAGTCGCCAGTTGGCGCTTTTTGGCCAGCACTCTCCTGCCAATTGTTGTGTTTATTAATTTAATTTGACAGTCGCCTTTGCCTTGGGGCCAATCGGCAGCAGCTGTGCACGGTTGTGGTCCAACTGGAAGATGGTTTGCCTGGGGGGGGGAGACTATATTCATTTTGTGGTGTCCTCTGTGGTTGCAATTAGAACATTAGAGAGGGCAGAAAAATTACACATAGAAAGGGAAAAGTAACAGACAGAATGTTGGGTATTCATTTTACATTCAATTTCCTATTGATAAATGCTTTGGACGTTGGAGATCTTTATCTTGGCAAATGATTTTCATGCCAATTGACAGTTTGAAACCCCAACAACCTGGCAGAGTAGGTTCCGCCGTGATCTATGGCCAAAAACTTTGCTACTTTCATCCCTCTACTTGACACATTTCTCTATCTATCTAAGTGCTAAGGACTATCATTTTCCTACACACCCTGGGTGCCATCGTTTGGGCAGGATCAGTCTAACAATGTCATTAGGGCTGTCCTCATTAACGGCACAGCAGTTGGTGATATTCGGAAAATCCATTAGAGCGCTCCTGCCGCTGCCTTCTGCCACAACCGCAGGCGAATTAAAGTGCTTCAATAACCAAATTTACGTTTGAATTTAATAAAGAAGAACTCCAGCTTGGGGTGTGTCCTGCCTGCCTGCCTGCCTGCCTGCCTGCTGGTGGTGTTGAGGTGTTAAGCATTACAAAAACGAAGCAAGAAAAATGAAAAAATAAAAGCGGAGCTGGGGCCAGGCCACTCCCTCGTTGACCCAGGCCGGAGGCAGCGACGTTCGGACGTTCGCAATGAATGTCATTTGGATTAAGCTTTGGATAAGTTTTTAATTTATTGTGCATACAATACCAAGGACTGCTCCTCTAGGTTAAGTGAGAGTGGGGGTGTACATCCTATGTATATCTTGGCGTGCTTATCGGAGCGTACCCATCGCTGCCGCAGGCCACGTGCCCGTGTCTCACGTTCTGTTCACCGACGGGCAGCAGATCTTCTGCCCCCTTCGTTGTGCCACTTAGTTCAGCTTGAACTGGCTGGCGGGCTCGGTGCCGGCGTGGAGTACCAGATACTCGGGTGTCATCGGGGCATTGAGGGTGACCCAGGCCTTGGGCACACCGGCATCATCGCGGGCGGATTGCAGGGCTTGCTGCAGGGCAAAGGCCACAGCGATGGCCACACAGATGGCGGGTTCCCCAGTGGCTAGAACAGGAAAACTCTCATTGGATGACAGTGTCCAAATGGATTAATAAGCTCACCCTTTGACCGCATAAACCCAACCTTGTTGGGGCTCTTGGGCAGCATTTGGATGCGCAGATCTATGGGAATATCCTTGGCGCCAGGTGGCTTGTAGGTCCACGTGCGATTAGTCAGACATTCGCCGGTCTGCTTGTCCACTATAATCTGCTCGCTGGTCCAGTAACCCAGGCCCATCATTAAAGCGCCTTCCATCTGTCCAATATCCACAAACGGATTCAGACTCTCTCCCGCATCCTCCAGGAGATCCACGCGGCTGATCAGATAGTTGCCCGTCAGAACATCAAATTCCACCTCCGTGAGGCAGAGGCCGCACACCGCATAATTATCCATGTCGCCCTGCTTGTAATGATCATTCGCTATGAGATTGATCTTCCGGTTGTAAGCCTCATTGATGAGTTGCTGCCAGTTGGAGGGTTTCACCTCCTCCCTGACCGGCGCCAGGCGAGAGTTCAGCGTCTCGCAGGCCTTGCGCACAGCAAAGCAAATGGATTCGCTGCCCACGGAGCCGCCTGTGCCCATGGCGTTGGCTCCATTGATCGTTTCGCTGGCCTCAATGCGCACCTGTTCCATGGGAATGCCCAGAGAGTGGGCCACCACTTGGGATATTTTGGTGTTCATGCCTGAAATGGATGGGAATTGAGTTAAGTTAGAGCTTAAGGGTTGAACAATACTCACCCTGTCCCATTTCAATGCCTCCATGTGTGACCACCACTGTGCCATCGCTGTGGTAAATAGCAACCGTCGCGGGATACTGTCCAAAGTAACCCATTTGGTACTCCATTATAGACAGCCCCAATCCACGCTTGCGCCAGCGATTCTCCTTGTTGTAGGCAATAATCTCAGAGCGACGTTCCTTGTATAGCGTACTAGCTAGAAATCCTGGCATCATTTCGCCCATTTTGTGATTGGGCAAAATATTAGCATAGCGCACATCCGCAGGATCCTGTCCAGTCTCGAAGGCAATGTGCTCCAGAATGTTCTCTATCATGGCAATGCCCTCCAATGATCCCGGCGCACGACACGGTGTATTGGTGGGTGCATCTGTGTACACCAGAAAGCCATCCAGTTTATAGTTATCGCTGAATTCGTAGCAGTTCCTGGACACCGCCACGCCATGGCCCATGTGGGACTCGTTGGACAAGTAGCCGGCATCCTCGAAGAAGCGACTGACAAGGCCCACAATCTTGCCAGACTTTTGCACGAAGAAATCGTAGTCACAGTGGAAGGCCCAGCGCTTGCCCAGTGTGCTCATAATGGACTCCAGCGACTGCACAAAGCGCACGGGACGATTCAGCTTGTAGGCAGCAATCGAAGCAGCAGCAGCGGCGAGATTGCAGCGCGTGGCCTTGCCACCGTAGCCACCCCCTAGGCGGCGGGTTTTCACCTGCACCTCGTTCACCTTTAGGTTGAGAATGTTGGCAATGATATCCTGCGACAGATCCATCCATTGTGTGGTGACATGCACTTGCATTCCACCCTCGAAGGGCACTGCGACAGTAGTCTGTGGCTCCATGTAGTAGTGGTACTGCAGGCCCAAGTCCAGCTGTCCGGAGGAACTCACATCGAAGTGTTCCCCCTCCAGGTCGAGGCTCTTCAGCGTTGACTTGTATCGATGCTCCAGACGCTCACTGGCTGAAGCTCCCACCTTATTCAGCACATCCTTGAGTGTGGGCAACACTTCCTTGGCTCCTCCTTCGTAACTTAACTTCACCAATGCTGCGGCGCGTTGAGCCAGCGCGTTGGAATTGGCGACAATCACACCCACGGGTTGGTCGTAGAACTTGATCTCGCCAGTGGCAAAAATCTCCTCGTCTTCGGCAAAAAACATTGGCTCGCGTGTCTTGGGTCCAAGATAGTTTGGTCCTGGTATGTCCTTGGCATCCAAATAAGCCACCACTCCGGGTATGTTTAATGCAGGCTGCGGGTCTACCTTTGAGACCTTTGCACCAACTTTTTTGGCGTGAACAAAGGCAGCCCACAACTGATTCTGTTGCGTGGGAAGATCATTGGCGAAAGTTGCTTCCCCTGAGCACTGAATAAGTCCCTCGTGCTTCTCCGTAGGCTTGGTCACTGGATAATGCTCCTCGAAGGTCTCAAAGTTTTGCTTTCCACTCGACACGGGCCGTTGCAGCAGAGATCCACCCAAAGCGAAGCGACTGCCCACTCCCTGTTTCCTCTGTGCTGCCGTCTTCAGCAGAAACTTGTAGAAGAGTCCGCAGGCGAGTTTGCGTCGGTACACAGGCGAGGCATCGGGCAGCACCTCATCGGGTTTCAGAATAGTCGACAGTTGGCCAAAGGCTTGCTCCACCAGTCCATTCTCATAGGGATTGCGTCCCAGCAGCAGCCTCTCAATGGCCGTGGCATGGACAAACTCCGGATTGATGCCACCAAAGCAAATCCTCGCAGTCTTCACCTTTGAAGCGTTGTCCAACTCGAGCAGGAAAGCGGCATTGACATAGGCATGAGCATTCTGTGCACGTGGCATGATCTAAGGATAGGGAAACAAGTGAGTTACATAACCTTATAGATCCTCTGATAGATCTCACCTTGTAGGAGTCGAACAGAAAACGATCCTTGGGGTACGCAGGGAGAACTATTCCTCTTATGATCTTTCCCTCCATCGGTGTCTTCAGATAGCTGGCGAGGCTGACAGTCGCCTGCTTCACCAACGATTCCTGGACAATCACCTGTGCGTCCAGAGCCTCGAGGACAATGAACACGTCCGAGGGGAACTCCGGGTGGGCATGCTTAATGGCCAGATTGCCCGCCAAGGTGCCGGCCTGGGTTAATGAAAAACAAATTGATAAGCGACAAGCGATAATTCGAGTAGCTGGAGAAGAGCTTACAGCTTATCAGGCAGATAACTAGACACTTGTCCATCGACTTACATTGCGAACGGGAACGTTGGCGATCCAATCGAGGTGCTGCCACACCTGGGCCAGGTACTCGAAGTCTTTGGTCTGCTCCAGCTGTCGGCAAATGTCCATCGTTTCAGTGAGGCTCAAGTTACCCCCGAGGGTGAGGGAGCCAGCATCCAGCTTGTGTCCCTTGAGCTCTGCCAAACCTCCCACATCGATGAATGC